GCTGAGCTGCCAGTGCTGCCTGCCTGGGAGACGGGGCTGGTGCTTTATATACTGACACTTGGCTAATGGAGCAAATGAGAAGAGAGGTTTGAACCCAAAGGAAAAAAACCAAACAAACAGGAAAGAAAGAAATTTGGGATATTCCTCTTGACAGCATTTCAAAACAGCAGCGTTATTCTTCACACACATCTAATTCTCCTGGATTGTGCAATCTGGTAGTTTTCAAGAGTGTAGCAAGTTGGGCTGCTTCTGTCTGTTTCCAGTCTCACTCCTGGTGGGGAAGGGTGTTTTTCCCCACACAATAATGTACTGACATTTGCTGTGAAGGGTAATCAATATTAGAAAAAAAGAGTTGATTGCCTAAAGAATGTGAGGATACAGGGCAAAAGGAAGAGCAGTACAGGGCCATTGCAAGGGACAGCTCAGGATGAAGCTGGGACCCCAGGGTACAGGAGTCAGAAAGGAAGGAGATAGAAACCCAGGAAACCTGCGGGTGTAAGTCATCAGGAGGCAGAAGCGCAGCGGGGGCGGGAAGGTGGTAGAACGCTGCATCGAGCTCGGTTTGCCGGTCTTTAAGTGGTCGCGCCCCCTTGGAGAACGCGACCAGAAGGCAAGGCGGTCCCGGGATCTCTAGTTTCGCGGTGACTGTAAAGTGCAGAACACTTGCCACGGAACATAGTTGAAACAGAAAATAGGAAGATGGCAGCAAACCCTTCAGGACAAGAGCATTAAAAATTCACCCCAGAGATAGCCTCATCTACCAGAGGGCAGACAACAGAAGCAAAAAGAACTGCAATCCTGCAGCCTGTGGAACAAAAACCACATTCACAGAAAGATAGAGAAAATGAAAAGGCAGAGGACTATGTACCAGGTGAAGGAACAAGATAAAACCCCAGAAAAACAACTAAATGAAATGGAGACAGGCAACCTTCCAAAAAAAGAATGCAGAATAATGATAGTGAAGATGATCCAGGACCTCGGAAAAAGAATGGAGGCAAAGATTGAGAAGATGCAAAAAATGTTTAACAAAGACCTAGAAAAATTAAAGGACAAACAAACAGAGATGAACAATACAATAACTGAAATGAAAACTACACTAGAAGCAATCAATAGCAGAATAACTGAGGCAGAAGAACGGATAAGTGACCTGGAATACAGAATGGTGGAATTCACTGCTGCGGAACAGAATAAAGAAAAAAGAATGAAAAGAAATGAAGGCAGCCTAGGAGACCTCTGGGACAACATTAAACACAACAACATTCGCATTATAGGGGTCCCAGAAGGAGAAGAGACAGAGAAAGAACCCAAGAAAATATTTGAAGAGATTATAGTCAAAAACTTCCCTAATATGGGAAAGGAAATATCCACCTAAGTCCAGGAAGCGCAGTGAGTCCCATACAGGATAAACCCAAGTAGAAACACACTGAGACACAGAGTAATCAAATTGGCAAAATTAAAGACAAAGAAAAATTATTGAAAGCAGCAAGGGAAAAACGACAAATAGCATACAAGGGAACTCCCATAAGGTTAACAGCTGATTTCTCAGAAGAAACTCTACAAGCCAGAAGGGAGTGGCATGATATACTTAAAATGATGAAAGGGAAGAACCTACAACCAAGATTACTCTACCCAGCAAGGATCTCATTCAGATTGGATGGAGAAATCAAAAGCTTTACAGACAAGCAAAAGCTAAGAGAATTCAGCACCACCAAACCAGCTCTACAACAAATGCTAAAGGAACTTCTCTAAGTGGGAAAGACAAGGGAAGAAAAGGATCTACAAAAACAAACCCAAAACAATTAATAAAATGGTCATAGGAACATACATATCCATAATTACCTTAAACGTGAATGGATTAAATGCTCCAACCAAAAGACACAGACTGTCTGAATGGATACAAAAACAAGACCCATATATAAGCTGTCTACAAGAGACCCACTTCAGACCTAGGGACACATACAGACTGAAAGTGAGGGGATGGAAAAAGATATTCCATGCAAATGGAAATCAAAACAAAGCTGGAGTAGCAATACTCATATCAGATAAAATAGACTTTAAATTAAAGAATGTTACAAGAGACAAGGAAGGACACTACATAATGATCAAGGGATCAATCCAAGAAGAAGATATAACAATTATAAATATATACGCATGCAACATAGGAGCACGTCAATACATAAGGCAACTGCTGACAGCTGTAAAAGAGGAAATCAACAGTAACACAGTATAGTTGGGGACTTTAACACCTCACTTACACCAATGGACAGATCATCCAAAATGAAAATAAATAAGGAAACAGAAGCTTTAAATGACACAATAGACCAGATAGATTTAATTGATATTTATAGGACATTCCATCCAAAAACAGCAGATTACACTTTCTTCTCAAGTGCACATGGAACATTCTCCAGGATAGATCACATCTTGGGTCACAGACCAAGCCTCAGTAAATTTAAGAAAATTGAAATCATAGCAAGCATCTTTTCTGACCACAATGCTATGAGATTAGAAATGAATTACAGGGGAAAAAACGTAAAAAACGCAAACACATGGAGGCCAAACAGTACGTTACTAAATATCCAAGAGATCACTGAAGAAATCAAAGAGGAAATCAGAATGATTTCCTAGAGACAAATGACAATGAAAACACGACAATCCAAAACTTATGGGATGCAGCAAAAGCAGTTCTAAGAGGGAGGTTTATAGCTATACAAGCCTACCTCAAGAAACAAGAAAAATCTCAAATAAACAATCTAAACTTATACCTAAAGGAACTAGAGAAAGAAGAACAAACAAAACCCAAAGTTAGCAGAAGGAAAGAAATCATAAAGATCAGAGCAGAAATAAATGAAATAGAAACAAAGAAAACAATAGCAAAGATCAATAAAACTAAAAGCTGATTCTTTGAGAAGATAAACAAAATTGATAAACCATTAGCAAGACTCATCAAGAAAAAGGGAGAGGGCTCAAATCAATAAAATTAGAAATGAAAAAGGAGAAGTTACAACAGACATCGCAGAAATACAAAGCATCCTAAGAGACTACTACCAACAACTCTATGCCAATAAAATGGACAACCTGGAAGAAATGGACAAATTCTTAGAAAGGTATAACCTTCCAAGACTGAACCAGGAAGAAATAGAAAATATGAACAGACCAATCACAAGTAATGAAATTGAAACTGTGATTAAAAACCTTCCAACAAACAAAAGTCCAGGACCAGATGGCTTCACAGGTGAATTCTATCAAACATTTACAGAAGAGCTGACACCCATCCTCCTCAAACTCTTCCAAAAATTTGTGGAGGAGGGAACACTCCCAAACTCATTCTATGAGGCCACCATCAACCTGATACCAAAACCAGACAAAGATACTACAAAAAAAGAAAATTACAGACCAATATCACTGATGAATATAGATGCAAAAATCCTCAACAAAATACTAGCAAACAGAATCCAACAACACATTGAAAGGATCATACACCATGATCAAGTGGGATTTATCCCAGGGATGCAAGGATTCTTCAATATAAGAAAATCAATCAATGTGATACACCATATTAACGAATTGAAGGAGAAAAACCATGTGATCATCTCAATAGATGCAAAAAAAGCTTTTGACAAAATTCAACACCCATTTATGATAAAAACTCTCCAGAAAGTGGGCATAGAGGGAACCTACCTCAACATAATAAAGGCCATATATGACAAACCCACAGCAAACATCATTCTCAATGGTGAAAAACTGAAAGCATTTCCTCTAAGATCAGGAACAAGACAAGGATGTCCACTCTCACTGCTCTTATTCAACATAGTTTTGGAAGTCCTAGCCATGGCAATCAGAGAATAAAAAGAAATAAAAGGAATACAAATTGGAAAAGAAGACATAAAACTGTCACTGTTTACAGATGACATGATACTATACACAGAGAATCCTAAAGATGCCACCTGAAAACTACTAGAGCTAATCAATGAATTTGGTAAAGTTGCAGGATACAAAATGAATGCACAGAAATCTCTTGCATTCCTATACACTAATGATGAAAAATCTGAAAGAGAAATTAAGGAAACACTCCCATTTACCATCACAACAAAAAGAATAAAATACCTAGGAATAAACCTACCTAGGGAGACAAAAGACCTGTATGCAGAAAACTATAAGACACTAATGAAAGAAATTAAAGATGATACCGATGCAGAGATATACCATGTTCTTGGATTAGAAGAATCAATATTGTGAAAATGACTATACAACCCAAAGCAATCTACAGATTCAATGCAATCCCTATCAAATTACCAATGGCATTTTTTTACGGAACTAGAACAAAAAATCTTAAAATTTGTATGGAGACACAAAAGACCCCGAATAG